GGAAGAGGAACACACTGAGAAATTCAAAGCTTTTGTGTGTTTGAGACTTATTTTCCCAAAGAGAGTATTTCCAAGTTCTAAAAAAAATTTAGACCATGAGTCTGGGACAATTTGGGTATTTGCTTTAACTCGTACAGTACCATATGCTGGTAGGTATTTGAATGATTACACTGAGTAATCACTGAATTTGTAGGCAGAATTTTACTTTTTTTAGGGAAGATAATTCATGGCTCTCATTAGATTCTCAAATGAGTGCTAGACTGCTGTGAAGGGTCGTGTGGGAGAGCATTGAATGGGAAATCTGAAGGCCTGGGTTTTTCAGCTTTTCATAGCAACTAGAACTTGAAAAAAGACATTACTCTCCTGGGCACTAATCTCCTTACCCATAAATGAGAAGATTGAATTAAACAGTGTTTTCTCAAACTTTAGTCATGTACATAGTCATTTGTGTGCTGCTTTTGTGATTATTGCTATAATCTGCTATAACCTGTACAATTAATATTTTTTAAACATTTCAAAAAATAGAATTTATCTTAAAAGAAGCCTCGTTTCTGCATCTATAAATGGAAAACCAGCATCACTTGATGGAAGTGAAAATAAGATCGTTCACGTACTACATTAAAATTATTGTCCTTACACATGAGACACATTGGTATAATGGATATATCATGTTTACCACTCCAGATTCACTCCCTACCCTTGTCTATCCAGAATGGCCCAGAAAAAACTTCCTTCACTAAAGCATTATAAAGAGCTCTGTAATTTTATCCTCTGTAGGGCAGATAGAATGATGTGGGGTGCTTCTTTGGAATCTCAATGGGAAAAATAGGATCCTGAAATAGTAGAGGCCAGATGGTGGTGCTGATCTCTCAGAGACAAGGAGGATGCAATTACCACCATAAACCATGGGATGGAATGGTAATCAGGATTCTTTCATCAACAGGATATATGGTGATGACTAGTAGATCATGGGTCTCTAGAAAAAAATAGACGGACATCCTCTTAAGGTGCTGCTTCACGTTAGAAAAAAACAATCCTAGGTTCACTGAGCCTAACTCAAGTCACCATGGTGGGATTCACAGTCTCTTATCTAGTTCCCAAACGTAGGGTCCCTCAGCAGAGGGGACACTAGGTCCCTATGAGGAAAGACCCTGCAATTGACCACATGTGTATACAATGGAACTCTCCCTAAGCCTTCTCAAGAGGGACATGGAGCAGTTTACTAGAACGACTGTGTAAGTGGGGTGGGGGAAGGGAAATACCCAGACTTTTTGGAGGTTATTAGATAGTAGTAGATCTGAACCTGAAAAGCCTTCACAGTTTTCCAATTAAACTTATAGAAGTCAGATAAGAGACGGAATCCTGGCTCACATCCATCTAACAGCGGGTCCAGTGCATCTATCTTGTGGTTATTCTCCTGGCCCAGAATGTACAGTGAGCCTAGATATACCTAATAACTGGCAGAATCCAGCGTTGATTCCTACACCAATGGAATGAAGGCTATTGCAGTAAGAAGGACCAAGTGGAAGGACGCGCCCAGAAGTGTACTCCTTCTTCTACCCTCCTCCCCACAATAAGATGGTAAGTCCTGTAGAGAGAATTGTTTAATTTAGCGTCACCTCTGAGGACTTGAGCAATACAGGGAAGGTATCCTACGGCATCCCATTTAACTCATCTGTTTAGCTGATGCAAAAACAAGATGGATCATAGGGAATCACAGTGGATTGTTCCAGACTAATTCAGGTGGTGATGCCAGTTGTAGCTGTAGTTCTAGATATGATAAGTTTATTGGAGCAAATCAGCATAGCCCATGGCACCTAGTATGTAGTTACTGATCTGGCAGATGCTTTCTTTCTATTCCAATCATTAAGAAAATCAGAAGCAGTTTGTTTTTAAAAGGCAGGGCCAACACAAACTTAAACTATCTTGCTCCAGGACTGTGTCACCTTTCCTTCAATCTGTCATAATACAGTCCTGTGTCCTTGATCATCTTCATATCCCACAGGACACATACCAGTCAATTACACTGAAGACACAACACAATAGGTTTTGATTAGCATGAAGTAGCAGGCTAGAGGGTAGAAGATAAATACTGCAAAAGTTCACGGGGCTGCGAATATTTCTAGAGGTCTGGTAGCCTGGGCAAGTCAGGATAGCTAAAGTGAAAGGCAAGTGGCTGCAGCTTGCACCACCCTCCAAGAAGAGAGAACACAATGCTTTGTGGACTTGTTTGTGTTTTGAAGGCAACGTACACATAATGTATAACTTGAAAGGCCACCAGCTTTGAGTAGGACTCAGGGCAAGAAAGGGATCTGTGCTGTAGTGTACGCTTCCCCGTCACTTGGGCATTATGACTTAGGGACCCAAACACATTGGAAGTATCTATGGCTGTATGGGACCTCTGGCAAGCCCTCACAGGAGAATAACAGCACAGAATCTTAGGGTTTTCTTTGTGAAAAGTAGTTCTTGCCTTGCTACTGGACCCTGATAGAGACAATGTACCTGATTATGGGATGCCAAGTAATTATGCTATTTGAGTTGCCCATCTTGAGCTAAGTGATAGATGATCCCCGGACCATAAAACTGAACGCAAATAGCAGCATTCCACTGTAAGTGAAAATGATATATGTGTCACTAAGGCTTAGCAGGTCTGGAGGGCTCAAGTAAATTGCACAAGCAAGTGGTTCAGACTTCCATGTACTTCCTCTTTATAACTTTGATGCCTTTCCTTCAATCTGCACATTTGGCATCACAGGGAGTTCCATATGATAAGAATAACCAGATGCCCAGGTTTGCCCTAGGTAGTACCAGTTTATACCTGTTGTCTGACATTCACTCATCATTCATGATACCACTTTTCATTGTTAAAAGTGTCCCAGTTTGGAGAATCAATTATATGGCTACCGACCTATGATCAGTTAATGGAGAAGAAAGAGTACGTGCCTGGTTAATGGACTTCTGTGTGGTATTCTGGCATCAGCTGGAAGTAGACAGTCAATGCACCACAACCCCACTCAGTGGGCAGAACTTTAAATGGCACATCTGGTTGTCTATTTTGTGTGGAAGGAGAGATGGCCTGAGATAACAGATTTACACTGACTCAGGGTCAATATCAGATTGGTCAGCTAATCAGGGACTTTGAAAGAATAAAATTGGAAGGTTAGTAATAAAGGTCCAGAAGGCAGCCTATTTGAATAGACTTCTCAGAATGAGATATGGTACAAAGGTATTTGTTTCTTATGTAAGTGTCTAGTAGAGGGAAGCCACTGTGGAGGAAATTCTGGAAAATTAAGATGATCCCCCTATGGGTGATATTTAGCCTCTTTTCCTGGCCACCTTGGTATTTGCTCAATGGGCCAGTGTTTAAAGTGTATGGTGGCAGGGATAGAGGTTATTCAAGTCTCAACAATATGGTATCGCTCTTGTCAAAGTTGATCTATTAACACTATTAAGTGCCCGGCTTGCCAACAGCAGAGGCCAACTTTGAGCCCTTGATATGACAACATTTATCAGGAAATCAGCATATGTGATCTCACAAATACATGCTCTGAATTACAAAGAAGGACCAGAAGGGCAGCGTGTGGAGTAAGAATGGAAAAGCACCAGTTCATCAGCTAATGGGACAATTTCATTCTTCCTTTGTTACTGCTGCCGTTTTGCTAGGTTCTATTTGTGAAGAGGACCAGTAAGAAAAGAAGGACACTGCTATGATTCAGCAATGCTATCTGTGTACTTCATCTCATTTAGTTCTCACAATAACCTTGTGAGGTGGGTTGAGTTGTAGTTCTGTTATAGAAATGAAAGCACAAGAGGAGAAAGATGACATCTCACTTCCAAAGACTCATAGACGCTTAGATGTGCTGACAAAGTTTGAACCCAAATGTGTCTTTGTGTCTTTTACCATACTGCCATACTGCTTTTTAGGACTATCTGGATTGCTAAGGGGGGTCTCAGTGGGCCTCTGCTGGCAACAGTGGAGGTCATTCTCCTCCCTCCCACCTTTGCCAGAACCACTATGGCATGTAAACTCCATTTTAAACTCCTGCATGTCTCCTTCGGCTCTAGCCTAGAGTGGGGGTGAGCAGAGCTCTACCTGAAAAGAGGGAGACAATGGGTGGTGGCTGCATGCTCCTGCTCAGGCCCCTGAAATATTCCAGGTTGAGTGGCATCTCAAGGCTCTTTTCCTGGGCTGTATCCCCAGAATCTCCAAGAGGCATGGAGGGGCGTCTGAGTTCTGTGGGGCCTAACACCTGGGCTGGGCAACTTGGGAGGAGGTGGGAAGAATGGGGCAGGAGGCTACTTTTCAGAGTGACCAGACCTGGCCTTGGAACCTCAGGCAAATAGCCCTGACTGATATATGTGTAGCTTTGGTGACAAGTAATGATCATTTCCCGGGTCCCTTTTCCTGTGTTATATTTCACAGGAATAAGCTAATTCTCGCATGGCACCCATATGACTCTTCTTGTGTTTCTTCCTCTTGGAGGCCTCATTCTGAGATGCTTTTAATATCATTCTGAGAAGACTTGTCTGTTCCCTCCCAGCCCCTCCAGTGCCGCTTAGGCTGGGTTAGGTGCCTCTTCTCTGTGGCTCTGGGGACACCCTATGCTTGGCCTTTTCATAGCACTTTTCACATGAGTTCTGGGTTTAGGAGTATCTATTGTGCAGTGTTATTGTGAGATATGTGTAAAGTACTTGAGCTTGGCCGAGAGTGGCTGTTTTTGTTATTATTGTGGTTGTCTACTTGTCAACCATTCTCACTGTAAGCTCTGAGGGAATGGACCGTGCCCCTGTTGCCTAGCACGTTGTTTAGGATGTTGGTAGATACTCAATAAACTTTCCATGAAAGGATGGATGAATTGAATAAAATGGGTTAAACAGCAGCAAAATTAGGGGATGGGTGTGGTTTTCTTAACTACTTAAATGTGTGTAAATAATAAGCGTATAATTCCTGGTATTTTCAATGAGAAAAATTCTTTATTTAAAATAGGCTAGATGTTTTTACTAGATTAAATAAAATACTCTACAAATAGAGAATTTTAAATCCAATATACCAAACCCAGTAATACCAGTCAGGGATTGTCCACCAATCCCTGTTTAAAAACGTTTGGATGAAATCGTTTATAATTCTGAGATATGTGCCTTTGCTTAGAGAAAAAGTTCCAAAGCAATGTCACATTTCCTGGATATAACAGTGTCATGCTAGTAGGAGAAACTCTATTATGCCTAAGACAGCCAAGAAACAGTGACTGTCAAACGCACAGACCCTTAGACTTGCTCTGATGTTATTAATAGTATTTCTAAATCACAGAGATAGTCGACACATTTTATTTTAATAAGAGAATGAAAGCAAGAAGGGGACCTACACTATTTCTAGCCACTTATATTTATTAATATATGCTTAGCATTTTTAATGCCTTTGATGTAGAAGGGTAATCAGTGTTTTAGCAAAAAGATATACTATGGGGACAAAGCTGGGGAGCTTGTGCACACAGAAAGTAGCTGATACTGCAAGGCTCTCAGGGCTCTTGGAAACGCCACGCATCATGCACCATCTGGGGCTGCTCTGCCTCGTTTCCTGGCATTGATGTCTGAGGACTCTCTGGGGTCACTGTGGTATCTGTGGTCGTTTCTTCCTCGAAATCCAGCGGTGTGGTCACATCAGCACCGTAGGTCTCGTAAGCCTCAGCTAGTCCAGGTGTCATTAGTGGGTCAGCAGCTGCTGGGGTGACCCTGGGGGGTCCCCTGCTCTGCCCGGCAGGGCCCCTTGCCAGGTTGGGAACACTGCCTTTGGGAAGAGCAAGAAGCCCTCCGAGGGGACCAGATGCAATCTCTGAAAGGAGAGCCTGGTTTTCCGGATTGGCCTCGTCAGCCTCCTTCGCAGGGGAGCCTTGTGGACCTCCTTCTCCTTTCTCAGGGCCTTTGGTTGCAGCGACTGGAGAGTCAAATTCCAGAGTAAAGTCCCCGCCCATGGCTGGATTCGGGGGCATCCCTCTAAGGCTGGACCTCATGCCTCCAAATCCTGGGAACATGGCTCCATAGGCCATGGGGCCTCCTCTGCCTCCCTGGAAGAAACCATTTACCAAAGATGCCATTATCTCATACTATCAACTATACCATGCAATGCTACCTGGTCGGATTCACCGAGAAACCATAAAAAACTGATAGGGAACAGGCTGATAGCTTTGTGTAAGCACATTTCTCACTAAACTAGCTTTGAAATACAAGGGAGAGGATTCTGCCTCTCCCTTGAAAAGAGGCTTTTCTGGGTGGGGCAAGTCCACTTCTGTGAAAGGGAGATGGAGACCCTTTGCCATGCCTGGCTGAAAGAGTAGGAAGGAGAGAAGCAGGGAAGCAGGGCAGATCCAGGTCTACAGGTGAAAGGTATTTTGAATTTAATTTTGAGAAAACAATAAGCAGCCGAAATGGGTAATACCATCATAAAACAAAGAAACAAGAACTGATCCATTCTTGAGTTTGTTGAGGGACGTTTTGGATGGCCTTGTCAATATCATTTCTCAGTATCCCCCAAATAAATGGAGCCCATGTAAGATTTTTCTTCTTTTTCTTTCTTTCTTTCTTTTAGAATATATATAAGAAAAAGAAGCTTGATTTCTCTGGAGCAAGTGGAATAGCTTCTTTCTGTGAACAGTTAGAATTCTAGAACTGACCATGTTTCCTTTTTCCCTTTGCTGCCAGAAACTTCAGAACCAAATCTTGGGTTATTTACAGCAGGTGTGCAGGGCTCTGTAACTTGCATATCTGTATTCTCCTTTTCCCACAATTTTAACTCTTTTAAGATCTTCTCTTCAATTTTTTGGTCACATTTATTGTGTGTTTTTCAAAAGCTATAGCAAAATCATTTGAGAATAAGGCAGAATATGAATAAATTAATTAAAATGATAAGATGATGTAAACACTGACTTGAATTTTCAACCAGCTGTGTCTGGTACATAGCTACAGGACTCTTGCCCCCGACCTTCTCCTGGCTCTCCACTCTAGCTCTTTCCATCACATCCTCCAGGGATGGCGCTGTGAACCCCTGGACTAGGCTATCAGCCCCTCTTTTCCTCCTCTCTTATAGCTCTGATACTTTTATCACATGATTTTGACATTATCTGCCCTTGTATCTATCTTTTCCATTGATTAGACTGTAAACTCCTCGAGAACAGGAACTTCATCTTATTTATCTTGCCTCCATAATATCTATGTGTCTCACTCACAGAGGGCACTCAGTAAAGTTGAGATGTGAGTTCTCTTTCTGTGATAGCGTGTGTATTTATTAATTTGATAGGATCTGTAGTTGATGATGATTTGTTAATTCAGTATGGTTTTGCTTTGCTTTGTGCTCTAACAGATGTAACGTAGAAATTTCTGAAGAAAAAGTCAAATTGTGTGAGTTTACTGCTCTCAGATTTTAAAGTTTTAATATGCATGGATAAGGATAACAGAAGAAGATTATACTTATTAATGTACTTTGAATTTGGCAATAACCAAATTTTAAACTTCATTAATTTTCTTTTTTGTCTCTCAATTTTGAGGGCTAAATGATTTGGAATGCTGTTGAATTTATTGTTTTGAAGAGTTAAATGGTCTGAGAAGAAACAGGGACTCTATGAACCACGTATTTCTTTTTCGATTTGAAGTGCTTGCCATTCAGTGATGATGGCTTTTCAAGACAGGTTTCACCTCTGTTCCCATTCAAAAAATGGGGCAAAACCCTATGTGCAAGAATGGTCATGAGTTAGAAATGAGTGTAAGGGGAACATGATGAAATCTTTCATGCTGCTTCAGAATCAAGCTTTTGGTGTTGGAGTGGGACAGTTTGAAAGCTGTGCTGTGTATTTGGCCACGTTCATGGCTAGTGCCTCTTGCAGCCAGTCATCTGTGACTGCTCCCCCCGGCCACCATTTTAATAAGAGTTTGAAGACGTTACTCACTGCCATTTCCTCTGAGCTCATGATGCCAAGTCTGCCAGGAGTGTTCTGTTCGAAAAGAAACTCTGCATCATATGATGAACCAGCTGACTCCTATTATCCTTGTAGCTACTCGAGACAAGCTTAAAAATTGTTTAGTTTTTCCTTAAGCCCTAATACTAATGCTGTGTCCCGAGGCAGAGTAAAGTGGAGAGATGTCATCACTGAAGAAATGTAGCCAATTTGGATAATTCAGATGGACAATTTACCTTTTCTTTAATATCATTTTGTGTGTGTGGATGTGTGAGTCTAGCCAGAATTATCCAAATAGGAGGTGTACCTCCTTGCCATTTCAATCACTAGTTTAGTCATTCAGAGAATATGGAATCTATTGTGTGAGGCCTGGATTTTATAATTTTAGCTCTTAAGATAACATTTAATTAAAAATGATACTTTTTATAGGCTACAGACTTACCAATTGATTTGCTCCATAGGTCAGGTAAAATAATCCTGGATAAAGCTAAATATAAATATAATAGTCACCACAAAATGCATTTTCTGAGGGAAGAACTTTTAAGTAAATTACAAACAGAGAAGTGGTATTAAAAAAAAACCTTACTGGAGCTTGTTTATTTGGTGGCATTGGTCCCCGAGCTATCAAACGGGCTATTGGGAACATCTTTAAGTGATAGGAAACAGAATAAGTAATTCATATTTGCTATAACACAGGCAAACCTCCCAGTACAGACATTTCTAAGAGTTCTATGAAGCACATTTTTAGAGGGATTAGTGTGGCAAATAAATATTTAATATTTTAGAAAACAAAGGAACCCATTTTACTTTATATTCACGGATAAATGGGGCAATTTAAATTTTTTACTCTTCTTTCTTGAAGTATAGAGACATTTTTGCCCAAGAAAGCGTCTCATTGAGATCTGTACTTACTTGTGGACCCTGTGGACCAGGAAAATCCATTTCTGTCAGCTGCATCACAGATAAATGGCAAGATTACTGAACGATTACTAAAAATAGACAAAGTGAACTGAACACATTCACCTTATTTATGATTATGATAAAACAAAACTGTCTCATTGAGATCTGTACTTACTTGTGGACCTTGTGGACCAGGAAAATCCATTTCTGTTAGCTGCATGAAAGATAAATATCAAAATTACTGAACGATTACTAAAAATAGACAAATTGAACTGAACACACTCACCTTATTTATGATTATGATAAAACAAAAGTATCTCATTGAGATCTGTACTTACTTGTGGATCCTGTGGACCAGGAAAATCCATTTCTCTTAGCTGTATCACAGATAAATATCAAAATTACTGAACGATTACTAAAAATAGACACAGTGAACTGAACACATTCACCTTTTTATGATTATGATAAAACAAAACTGTCTCATTGAGATCTGTACTTACTTGTGGATCCTGTGGACCAGGAAAATCCATTTCTGTTACCTGCATCACAGATAAATATTAAAATTACTGAACAATTACAAAAAATCGACAAAATGAGCTGAACACACTTAATTTATGGTATGATAAAACAAAAAAGTGTCTCATTGAGATCTATACTTACTTGTGGACCTTGTGGACCAGGAAAATCCATTTCTGTCAGCTGCATCACAGATAAATATTAAAATTACTGAACCATTACTAAAAATAGACAAAGCGAACTTAGCACATTCACCTTATTTATGATTATGATAAAAGTGTCTCATTGAGATCTATACTTACTTGTGGACCCTGTGGACCAGGAAAATCCATTTCTGTTAGCTGCACCACAGATAAATATCAAGATTACTGAACAATTACTAAAAATAGACAAAGTGAGCTGAACACACTTACTTAATTTATGGTATGATAAAACAAAATTGTCTCATTGAGATCTGTACTTACTTGTGGACCCTGTGGACCAGGAAGATCCATTTCTTTTAGCTGCATCACAGATAAATATTAAAATTACTGAATAATTACTAAAAATAGACGAATTGCACGCATTCACCTGACTTATGATTATGATAAAACAATCTCAAATGAGTTTCACTATTTTTCCTTTCATTTAGTTTTGGGGGGTACAACCCTTTCATTGACATGACTCAAGTGCAAGGGCAGGGAGATGGGGCATGTCTGTCATGAATTTGCTTTGTCTTGCAGAGTCGAAAGTAAGGAGTTTTGGAATTGGAGCATGCCAGGATGGTTTGAATCCTGGCTCTGCCACTTAGTTTTTGTGTAATACTGGGAAAATTGTATAATCTCGCAAAGTCTGCCTTCTCCTTCTTAAAAAGGATCATAATATCCCTATAATATTGTAGTCAGGATGATATGGGGGAATGTTAAATGCCTACAACATACCAGTTACATGGTACCTTCCTTTCCTATCCATTGCTCTTTGCTCTACATTATTACAAGATAGTTTTGGGTAATTGTCATCTCTACCACCAGATAGAGAAATAATAATGCAGACTAGTACTTGCAGTGCTGAGGGATCACTCACTCATCTCAGTCCTTCCAACACTGAAAAAGATCCTGATGATAGGAAGCCTGGACTTCTCTGGGCTGTCCTATTTCCTCTGAAGCCTTTCATCCTTTGCAACTATGAAACCAAGTTTTACAGGCACAGGATCTTTTAGAATCCATACCCTGTCTCAGGTGGCAAAGGACAAGAATAGATATGTATGTTCTACTCCTACATATGTCAACTGCCTAAAAACATATTTGTATTTTTGTGCATTTTGCCCCAAAGCTCTGATTATTTAAATGTGCTCTGCAGATGGGATTTCTTTCATTAAGTTAGTGGGTGATCCTGGTCTGACTTCAGGGAAAGAAATTACCTCGGCCTTTGGTGGCTTATCTGATGGTGCCACCTGCTGTTGAACCATTGGCCCCTCTGACTGCTGCAAGGGCGGCTGTCTCTGGTAAACCGGAGGCTGATGTCCTCCCTTCTGGATGGTGTCCTGGATCCCTGAGGTTACAATGGTGGGCTGGAGGAAAGCTTTCTGTCCTGGCTGTTGAGGCTGCAGGGATGGCTGCGATGGGAGAGGTGGGGGATGCACAGGCAAAGAATATTCATACTGCAGAGAAATTTGAAAGGAGCGTCAGGAAGCGCTGGCTCGCTGAACTGTGGGGTCTAGAATTTCTAAAGCAAAAGGGCTTGGGGAGCTTTCTACTTGGAAGAGAGTCTAGAGGACTTGTCATGAAGCTGTGTTTACATAGGAAGCAGCGATTTACTAAAAGTCAACGTTATTTGAGGCAGTCTGGTGCCTGTCTGCCTCCCTTACTTCCTCCGGGACAACCTCTGCTCATGAAGATGGAAAGCTATGTGGACTTCCTAGTAGAATGAGTTGTTTCCTGTTCTGGCTGCCGATAGCTGCTTCTGTGTTTCACTACTTTCTCACTGGATTACAATTATTTGTTATAAATCTTTGTCCCCCAGTCAACTGAGAGAGAATAATATGTCTTATTAATGTTTATAGCCCCAGGACTTAATAAAGCTCCTAACAAGTGCCTGGCACATGATAGATAATATATTTTTTGAGTGAGTGAAAGGAGAAAGAGTAATTAAATAAAATGCCAATCAAATTCCTGCATCACAGAGTCCATTTTGGAAACAATCAAGTGGAGAAAGAGTCCCCATTGACATAATTTACTGTCCTGCTAAATGTGGCTTGCTGAGTAATGCTACTTGCTGTGGAAGGCCATCTGGAATCAAAAGTTCCTGTTAAAGCAACTATGTTCTGTTGCTCCTCTTTGAAATTACCTATGGTGAATGACTCCCTATTATTTTTAAATTGTTTGCAAGCTCCTTAAAGCGGCATGGAAGTCTCACAGCAATCTGGCCCTGCTGCACCTCTTCAATCATTGCCTATCTCTGTACTCCTTGGCTTTCAGTACTTAGACCTCATTCTTTACTAACACCTCACTATTTAGCACCTTGTAATGTGTTGTCTTGTCTTATCTTCCAATTAGACCTGAAATTTCGTGAGCGTTGAAGCCATTCTTCAATGTCTTTACTTTCACTCCCAATCTACAATTTAGTTTATATATTTATTAGGTACCTAATAAATAATGGTTAAATGATTGATGTATTTATTTATTGTCTGCTGTGGGGTTCATGCCGTTTTATCCAGGATTCTGGCATCAGCTTAAATGTCCTTTTTTTTAGGGAGTCAAGACTAAAATAAAAATAGTCTAGGATATAGTCTGCTTCCATTCTGAGGATAGTTTATCTATTTTTATTGCTCATATCTTTAACATAGGTCTCATATTTTGGAGCCCATATGTTCCTATTTGAAATAGATATACAAATGGGTTGGAAATTTGGACTGTTTTATTATAAATTTTCCTAAGTACTAAAAACAATTATAGGTGTTGATTTATTGGTATTTGGATAATTTTTTGTTCATTACTATTACCTGCCTGTGGCTAGTGTATGACAACTTAGAGAAGGCAAGTAGGAGAATATTTTAAAGTTTGAGGTTTCAAACACATTGATGCAGTTAACTTACCTGTTGAGTTTCATGTTCTCTTGGTCTCATCCATGGGAAAGAGGAAGGTGGCGGCAGGAGACCATTCATCCACAAAGAATTAAATGATTTCCCATAGCCGAATCTTGAATACTAAAGACATGGAGCGAAAAGAAGGTATGCTTATATTTCAGATGGCTTAAACTTGGTTTTCATTTTCTAAGAAATCCATCGAAAGAGTAGAGATAGCAAAAGTAAGAGTGATATTGGTTAATTTAATATGGATAGGTAAATGCTGTCTTCCGACAGACTTACATTCCATTCGGAGCCAGATTGCAATATTCCCATAAACTTGTTTGAGATTTAGCTTTTTAAGCACTCATATTTTGGGCTGTATAAAACTGATAACACAAAAAATGATATATTTTTCTTGCTAAAGAAAATTCAGTATTGTTTTAATTTAGCCGTGCCAGGATCTTATTTTGTTTTAGGTTAGAAGAACTTATTTGTTCTTCCAGTATTTAGGATATTGTCTATTCACAAACAAATTTTATGAATGACGGTGTTGCCGCTAATGTCACTACCACCACCACCATTAATATTTGCAATAAAAAATATTTGAAAATAAGGTTACCTGAGAGAGCATGTTTAATCCCTGCAAACTTCCCAACTGTCTCATTGTCTATAAGAAAAAAAAGTGGGTTAGTGTTTGCCACATATGTTCCTTTTCTGTACGACACAACTGATTTCTCAACATATGGTATTATTAGCACAAAGTTTGGGGTGGGTCAGTTTGCATAAAATAAAAGCAGACACAAATGATCACTGAAAAGTGGAAGTGTTAAATGTGACTCTGCCATTATTGTTATTATTGATATTAACATAGCTTGCTTTTTACGATTAATTAAAAGAGAGAAAAAGTATCATTTAAGTGGAAATCATATTGAAACCTGGGAAAATAGCTCATTCAACTGACATCACAATGTAATCACAAGGACATTTTCATTGACTCTTTTTTTCCCCATTTAACTTGCTTTGCCTTTTATAAATCCAATCCAAAGAAGAATTTGAAAAAAACAGGCAAACAAAACAAAACAACAGCCCCCGCCTCCTTCCAAAATAAAAAAGCCCTCAAAATAATAAATATGAGAAAACATTGGGGAAAATGGTAAGCATCTGGATAGATGGTAAAGAATGCTGCCAGTTCAACAGAAAGTCAATTTCACTGTTAATGCGGCGAGGTGCTTTGAATTGAGTTTAAGCCAGAAAGTGAGAAGAAAATAACTTGGTGAAGTAAGCCTCCATGTGAGATAAATCTAGCCCATATAGGTATTGATTGCCCTCAGATTGTTACGATAGGAATAAATTTTGCAAGGTCTTTCGAAAAACTTGTAATCTCAGAAATATTTTTCTACTCATAACTGTCAGTATATTCTACTGATATGGTCAAACATTTCTATTTTGCTGGGATTTTCTAAACAGTATATACTAGTTATGAGAACTGCAACAAGACAAACAGGCTGTGCAGCAGGTACACAGCACAATTTTAACGCTATTTACAGTTCTTTTCAACAATTGCATTTTGTAAGGTGAATTTTCTTCATGGGAACTTCATCATATAAGATACTATAAGGAGAAGGAACTAAGTATAAACCATTTGTGACTTCAGAACAATGCGTTTTACTAAACGTAATTATATTAACATGGTAATTATATTAATGTATATATAATATATATTAGATATTAAATATTAGTATTGTTTTGATTCATATACAGGTGACACTCTAAAGACTAAAACACCTGAGAGTTTAAAATTGCAGTAAAATTGGAAGATGAAGCTCTAAGATGTCTCATAAATTTCTCTAAAACTGCACAGGGGGACAGCCACTGACTTCTGACGAGGAAAACCGAGAAACAGCCCATCATATTTCTCTCTTAGCAGGAACATACCAATACAAAGATTATGTGTAAATACTCTGACAATACATACCTCAAGGCTCAAACTAGCCATGCCTGGTATCCCAGGCTGCCGAGGAAACGCCTAAATGGAAATAAGAATAATTTTGAGTTGTTTTTGGTGAGAAACTTCCTTACACACTGGACATAGAAAGCCACCCTACTACATGAGGGCCAGCTGAGGGGCCACCACAATGGTTTGTTACCCAACTGACTTGAGCTTTTGGGCAGAATGAAGGAGAATTTAAATTGTTTGGGGTATTACTATAATTATTTAATAATTTTGCTTCCACAAAATCATCTACCTTTTGTCTGCATCTTAATGCTCTTTGGTTTTTTTTTTGAGGAAGATTAGCCCTGAGCTAACTGCTGCCAATCCTCCTCCTTTCGCCGAGGAAGACTGGTCCTGAGCTAACACGTGTGCCCATCTTCCTCCACTCTATATGTGGGACGCCTACCACAGCATGGTGTGCCAAGAGGTGCCATGTCCGCTGAAGTGGAAGGTGCGAACTTAACTGCTGCACCACTGGGCAGGCCCCATGCTTTTTGCTTTTAAAAGCAAAATTTGATTTAGCTTGAAAGTTACATTGAAAACAAATGAGAAGTAAAATAGAGTAACAAAATAGAAAACTAAGAGTATTTGATATTCTTAAAAAATTACCGCATAGAAAAGCAAACTTGAGCTCAATTTGCTTGCGTATTTGACATACCTACATGCTTCTGGTTTATGGAATGTGGTGTAGGATCATGGCGTTCAGCAAAACCGTGTGCAAATCCTAACTTGCCTCCCATTCAAAGGGCCTCAAAAAATCCTCCATCATCCTTAGTGAAAGATTATTTTATGTATAAACCTGTTGATCTGTGTTTATATTTTTGTGATCATGTCAAAGGTATTTTTTTCCTTCTAATACCAAGTACTATTATACTTAATGTGTTCACTTGTTAAAAGAGTAGCTGTACTTACAACCAGGTTTTTAAAGTGTAAGATAGTTTCTTTTCTAAACTAATCTTTATTAATGTACACAAATACCAGAGGGGAAAAAAACCAGAATGGCAGAGTAGGAATTAGAGTAAATTGAGTTTTGAGAGTCTTTGGTTCTTTAGATCTTCTTACTATCTACGGGCAAGGGGTTTTAATGCCTTCCTTCCTTTATTTACCCACAATATTTATGGAGTCTCAACTAAATGTACTAGGATTCTTTTTCCTTTATGAGTAAGAAGTTCAGGAATATTTTTCTGAGCATATGTTATCTACCTCCACTTCTCCTACTTTTTTATACATGAAAATTCCACCCTCTGAGTCATGGTGCAAATTTCTCCAAATAATTTAGTTTTGGAAATGGATAGAGGGAAAGAAGTTATAAGTGTGTATCAAATACTCCAACTAAGAGAAAAAGATTAGCTGATAGACAGGAAGAGCGGTGTGCATGCATTCGTGTGTGTGTGTGTGTGTGTGTGTCTGTGGTGAGCAGATTGTTCAGAATTTGAGGGGACTGTGAGAGCAGTATTCTTTCCTCCCATGGCCAGTACACAAATAAGGTATCTTGGACAGTTTCAACTACATGATGAAGTATACTTTGCTTTCTATCTGCTCCAAGTCATGAATTAAAGAATAATATTTACAGGAATATAAATAGATAGGGAATACATTTCCCATGCCAAAGTAAAAGCAGAACATCTAATTTGGCAAGCAGTCAATCGGTAATCCTAAGCAATTGCCCTGTTCCTCAGAGTGACCTGACTTACACAAGTGTGGGCCTGTACATGTTCCAAGAGTGTCAAGGTATTAGACTGGTGGTGAATGGCTGAGGCTGATCTTGAGGTCAGTATCATACAAAGATAAACTAGCATGGCAGCTTCGATTTTTCTTCCATTTAAAATGCGTGTTGAATAATGAAATAAAAACTCCTTTTATTCATAGAGATGAAGTTTTCATCATTGTAATCAGTTTCTATCCCCTTTCTCCAAAACATTTGACTTTAAGAAACCCAAGTAGCTAAACTTTTTTCTTAAAAAAATATTTAAAGTTCATTTGAGGCCACTGGATTTGAGAATTCAAGACGAGAGAGCATGTCATATTTACCTTCGTTATCTCCAATGGCCAGCACACTGCTGGGTACATGGCAGGTGCTCAGTCAATATTTGACAAATGCATATAGCAGCTGAATAAGGTCTTCATGAAAACAGAATCACACACTAGTGGCTGCACTACGTCAGTGCTCAAAGGATTGTATTCCTGTGAGATCATTTCAAATTATGACAGAGTGGACCAGGTACAGGACTGTAATGTACAATTAGTCCCACTGCCACGACATGTTTTGATTTAAGAAACTTCAGTTCTCAGTCTCTTATATCTTATATACATATATCTTATTATTATTTATATATTTATATATTATTATATATATATTATTATATCTTATATATCTTATATCTTATATAATATCTCTTCCATAAGGCAAATTTGTTGGTTAGCTACTAGTTTCAAATGGAACACTTAGCTCAGTTTTGTAACCATGGTAATTTAGCTAATGTTGTTCTTTTAAAAATGGAGAAGAAAATGTACTTTACTTTTTTTGGAGAAATTTTCTCTTTCCATTTCATAATGGTAGCAAGTAGTTAATAAAATTGTGGCCATGGCATTGTAGAGACCACATAAGCCTTTCAAGTTTGAATGAATGGAATAAGACTTAGCAGTTGTCTTTGGAATATTTTAAATATCTTTTTGAATAGAAAAGTATATGTTTGACGTTGCTTTTGGATGGTAAGGACTGGTGTCTGGGCAGCTATGACTTTTGATTCAGTAGGTACTATACCACTGGATTAATTCAAATGAATCCATGCATGGACTCTCAGCTCGCATCCTTCAGTGTTGTTTGGTGTCCAACAATGTCTCTTCCAGGGAACGTCTAGAAGACTCTGACTTACCGGCACCGCAGAACCCATTTCCAGGAGGCACAGGATCAGTACCAAGTCCTTCATTTTGAAAAGCGGGATCTGAAACAGAGTTGGGGTGAGGAATTAAATCAGATAAAATTTTTCTTTTGGAATGGCTAAAAACTGGTCCAAAACAATCAGCTTCAAAAAACAAAAACAAAACCAGAAACTAAGTGTTGCTAAACATGCATTTACTAGTTTTCAAAATGAATTGACAAACAATTTAAAAGAATGTAAGTACTTCTTTTACTGAGCTTCAACCTGAATGAACAAGTAGGAGCAACCTCCCGCATATTCTTTAAATGCTGTGTTTCATTTCGTAAAATGAATGATGAATTTTAAAATCCTATCTGCTATGTAAAATTCCAATCTATTAAGTATCATTCACAGGATTCCATATTTCGTTTACCTCCAGAATAAATTTTGAAATGCATTTGAAATGTGACACAACCAGTAATCGTTTCATAACAAATGTTTATTTGCAGATATATGGGGTAGATCATTCTATGTTTAGGTTACCCAGATAACCATGCAGAAACATCTTTTTAAAATAAGAATGAACTGAATATTTTAGTTTCCTTTGATATTAGTGAAAAATATGTCTCAAAATTCATTTTTCTCTTTCTAAAATGAATTATCTCTTTAAATTCACTCTATAAGTTCAAAAGGCTCTTTGCTCTTACATCAATGGAAATCTGACTAGTCAAGAGATTTGCTCATCTTCTAATACTATTCTAAATTAGGCACTGTCACTAATAATCACAGATAGAAAAAAAAATGTCTATAGGTAAGTCCTTTTTTCCTTAGCTGAAAGGGTACTAGGCATGTCTTCTCTGGAACATGCTAATGGTTACAATAAGCTATTATTGAACTTCTGGTGACAAATGAAGATAAATCCCCTTTATAAAGGCTTCCTGGAGATACAAAAAAAGAACTTACAGGAATCACATGGAAATCATAAAATCACATTTTACCTTCAATGCTGGCATGCACTGTGCTCTCAGGGCCTGGTGATGCCAACCAAGATAGTTCTAAGAAAAGAAGATTAAAATTTTTTCTGGACTGTACCTGGGACTCGTTCTGTATCTCTCATGCAGGGAAGAGCTGAAACCTTTATTTAAAGTGCCAATCCACCAATCAAAGTGAAGCAAAATGAGGGGAAAAAAAACCCAAACTCTGCTCCTGCAATTAGCCCACACACTCATATTGCATGCAAGGACGCTGGCTCAGTAGAGTCTTATTATTTTTAATTGTAACTCGTCCCCTGTATTTATTCAGAGAACTCCATTGCAGGGAAGACAGTCAAGGAATAATGGACGTAAGCTCTGAAGACAATCATTTTGGTGAGCTGGGGGAGATATATGTAAAATAGGTGCAAAATAAACCATTATTTGTTTTGTGCTGGTTTTTATCTGCAGATAAAGCTACTGACTCAGTGGCAACATTCTCAAGATTTTCACTTTCATGCTTGTTGTGGTAAAAATAACTCTTAGCCCTTCCCTCGGTATACACACAGTCTAGAAGCAAACACTAAAATAACTTTCTGGGCTTGAAAGAAAGGATGAAAATATTAGATGGGTAATGGATAATGAATATGTTATAATTTTTTCCTCAGAATTTCCAACATATTTTCATATCTGAAGATAATCGAATAGAGATAGCCAAACTTTTGTAAAAAATTTCAGCTGGACTCTGAAAGAATCACTTCAGATAAATCTTTGGTTCGTGTTCTTTTTGGGGAGAGGGGCATAAGTCAGAACATTCTCCATGAACCAATCAATTCAATAGGCACTATTCTCAGTTCACTCTTTAGATAGATCCATTTTCAGGCATTTAGTATCAAGCCAGATTAGTAACCTATATTTGTGTTACTTAAAAGGTAACAACAACATGGATGGGTTTTTCTCCATTAACAGATAAGAATGTCTTAGTTGTGGGTTGAACTTTATTTGCTTTTGTTATTTCTCTGCCCCTTCTTGTCTTTCCAAAGGTGTGATTTCAGACATGGTAGGGATAAGCATTTAAGATCAGTTTCTTAAGAAGGGATGAGTCAGTACACTCTTTAGGGAAGTAGAGATCTTGTCAATTACAGGGAACATTGAGGAAGCTGGTATTTTGGGAGACAGATGTCTTCATACTTAAGTGCAGGCCTAACAGCTTCAAATAATGTTATCCAAGAAGCTGTCCCTGAAAAACTCCATTTCCCAGTGATAACTGAATTATTTCTAGGATGCAAAAAAGAAGGAAAGTGAACATGTTTTGTAATAGCAAAATGTTATTGAAATGAAAATACTAGTTTTGGCTTCTCTCTCTCTTTCTTTCCCTCTTCTTTTTCCTCTTCCTCTCTTTATCTCTTTTTACTTCGGCTCTGGAATGAAGTCCCTTGATCAAGTCCCTTAAACTCTCTGAGCCCCAGTTTCTTCCCCTATAAAATAAGGATAATCATTTACTACCAAAGGCTTATTTTGAAGATTTGGTGAGACGATAAAGATGCAGCAGCAGCCATACAGTGGGCGTTCAATAAATGGGCTGATTGTCCTTTGTGTGGGAGAAACTACGTCAAACATGGGATCACAAAGACACTGTGTGTGTATTTTATAGGAGGAGGACCTGTTAGGTCCATGAGCTCCAAGGAGTGTAGAGGAGGGACCTGATGGAAGACATTTCCTCTGCCTGGAAGTGGATGCTGAATCCATGGGATTAAGCTTCCTAGTTGACTGCTAAACAGGGAAATGGCGTGTGTGTGTCTATGTCTTTTATGGTTTATAAGCATGATCATGACATGTTAATAATGATGTTTTGATAGGATTCCCGTGTTCTGCCTTGCTCTTAAACCAAGTATTTAATATATTGTAAGTGATGTTGCTTCTACCTTTTTTTAATGTCCTTCACACTCAGTTTTGGGATTATCGTCTTCTAGATGTTTCCCTTCTACCTTTTTTTAATGTCCTTCACACTCAGTTTTGGGATTATCGTCTTCTAGATGTTTCCCTGTTAGTTTCTTTCTCCTTCCATTTCCTACAGCATACCAACATCAGACGTATCTTCCTTAGATATCAGTTTCAGCATTTCACTGCCCCACTCAAAAACTTTTTAAATATCTCTAAGGTCATAATGTAAAATTCATCCTCTGTAACTAGACAGTCAAATTAACATTTTGATTTACCTTTCCAATCTCATCTCCCGCTTTCTGGAGACACTGAGCATTGATAATAATGATAATTGTAATAATGATTGTTGTAATCAGTTGAGGTTGGTTTCATTTTGCATCTAGTAAACACTTTTTTATTTTGGTTTATGTTACTGGGGAATTTAGTAAATATAATTCTAATCCTATGAAAAATGTTTTAATTACAAAAAAATCTGGAAGTCAATAAGAGTATATGAATGTGTTTCTGATAGTGATTATAGGTGTTAAGGAAGTTACCACAGCTGATGGAAACTCTGTTACGTTGATCAAGACTGTACCTAAAGAACAACCAGAACACCAATGAAAAGAAAAGCCATGTCCAGAGTAGAGCAAAAATAAAAAACTCAGAATGACAGAAGATCTGAGACACTTGAGGGAACACGTCACAGAAAAAGCTATAAAGAAAAATCTAGAGAAAGAAAATCCTGTGGAAGATATTGGTATAGCAGCTGAGGACATAGCTATTTACATCCCCTCTGTGACACTGGTCATGTGACATTGGGTGAGCAACTCAGCCCGTATATATATAGTATTTTCATATAGTAATTTCATCTGTTAAATGTGGTCTACCATAGCGTGGCATTAATTTAATTTAATTTGAATATAATGACAATAAAGTGCTCAGCACACTATCTGGTATGCAGAGAATGTTCAAAATGATCATGAGTTATTATTCTTGTTTAAATAAAGAAACATGTATGCTGGAGATCTGCTTCATGTTGGACTGTGGGCCTTGACTGTGGCTGCTCCAGCCACCAATGGCAACTATAGCCACTAACTGAAATCTACGGGCATGATTTTGATTGCTTATGGGTATGTTGATTCCATGTGAATCATGAACTTTAATTTTTGCTTTGTTTTGACACATTGTCTTCTCCAACTTTCTAATCCAGCCAGACTTGTCTTCTCAGTCTCTCCAGAATATGCCATGGTTTTTCTCTTCCTGGCATTTTGGTTGAACCTTTCTCTCTGCCTAGACTCTTTTCTCACCTCTTCACAACTTGTTTTTTAAGCTCTACTCAAATTTTACCTCTTCTGAGACTCCTTCCCCCACCATTTCATTCCACTGTGATTTTCCCTTCTCTGAATTCCAAGTATTAGTCAGTCATTTGGCAATCATTCACACACTACATTTTGACAGCTTGCTTGTTATAAATCTTTCACATTTTACTTTGCATGCAGTTTTCTAACTTTTCGTATATGCTTTTCTTGTCTTTTTAACCATATAAACATTCCTGTAGGGGCAGAAATCACCCATTCTACTAAGTTGCATCTTTTAGTGTTCTACGCACATTATAAATACCATTGGATGGTATTTACTGTGGGCAGGCATTATTTTAGTGTTTTACACATAGTAATTTATTTAATCTTCACTTTAAGAACTTTATCAAGAAGATATTGTTCTCCCCTTTTCATACATGATAAACTTGATCAATAGAGAGGTGAAGTAAATTGCCTAAGGTGACAGTCAGTAAGTGGGGAGCCAGAATTTAGACACAGGTATCTTGCCCTTAAGCGCTATGCCAAAAAGAAAAACTCAATCACCCAATGGCAAATGACATGGATCAATCAATCATTGGCAGGTACAAAGAGGTACAACACAATACTCCTGTCTGTAGGGAATTTATCAGCTATTTACTCAAAGAAGAGAGATACACAAAAATAGTTAATGAAACATACAACAAGCCAACAGTAATTAAATTAAAAAGCACATATAATATCAAAAGGTGTAATCCCACATGGATTAACTGCTGAAGTTAAGACTGCTACAGAACAGTAATTCTCAATCAAGGATGATTTTGCACACCCCCCTTCCCCCCAAGGGAACATTTAGAAATGCCTGGGGGATAAGGAAATTTTTTGATTGTCACAATTTGCTGACAGGGAAGGAGGAGAGGAGGGATTTGCTGCTGGCATCTAGTGAGTAGAGGTCAGAGATGCTGTTAAACATCCTACAATGCACAGGATAGCCCCCTACAAAAAAATTATCCAGCCTCAAATGTTCATAGTAGTGAGTTTGGGAACTTCTGCTAGAGGAGAATGCTATAACGTTTTTGAGGTAGGAGAAATCCTTTGAGGCTTTGGACTCAAGCATGAGGAGAATAGATTTACGCTCAGACTTGAAGGAAGGATAAGATTTGACAAGATCCTCAATCAATAGCAGTGACTGAGTGAATTTAGAAGTATTAAGTTTTCCAGGGAAAGAATCTGATGGAGTGTCAGGCATGAAGCTTTAGTAGAAGGGAACAAAGGCAGAGAGAATGGTCATGTCAGGGGAATGCCAATTTTTAAAGTTGATTTGTATGTTAGAATAATAAAAGGAATAATAAAGGTTTCATGGATCTTACACTAAAGTCTACTGTACATATTAATAGCTTATTTTTATTGACCACTTACCATGTTCCAGATGCTATTTTTATACTCCTTATCTTAATTCATCTTCATGAACCATCTCATAAGGTAAGTACTGTGAAAACTGGGCTTTAGAAAGGGTGTTATGTCCTTCCGAGTTAGTAAGTAGCATAGCTGGAAGTCAATCTCCAAAGACCATGCTCCTGACTGCTAGGCCGCCCACACTGACTGTCATTACTTGGTGTTTTGTAGGGCCAATTATCGTGTTGGTTTGGGCTAATGTTTATATCTGATTTTTAATTCTTACAAAAAATGAATAATAAATTTTTGTGAAATCTGTTGACACATTATTACCATACCGTCCTACAGCATGGGAGTCAAATTTGAATTATTTTTGCCAGCCAATAGGATAGTCAAAGTTACTTTGAAAACTATAGACAATATTAA